GGAAAGCATGAGCTGCAGTGAGGTCCTGGGACCAGGGGTGATGCTTCTCATAAATTCAGATCATCCTACCCATTTTTATCTGGGTAGACTGAGGCCCAGGGTAGAGCCATCAGGGCTGGACCCCAAAGCTGCTGAATTCCCAGGACTCTGCAGCCTTGGATGTTTGCGGTTCAAGTGGGAGGCTCACCCATGGCTGCAAAGGTGTCCCGCAGATCTTCCTTGTCAATAATGCCATCGCGGTTCTGGTCGATTACTGTGAAGGCCTGAGGAGGGCATGGACAGGGAGGGGTTAGGTTCCCCATGGCCAGGCTTTAGCATCCTTACTCCAGGCAGATCAGATTCTGGCCTCTAGCCAGCTGTCCTCTTATACCCCAAGGGAGGGGGAGGGGCATTCTAAACCCTCCCCCTCGCCCTAAAACAGGTGCACATTCAAGGGGTTGGGGGGAGCAGGGATGTCTTTGCCCAGCCTTCAGTGTCTTCTCTCCCCTTGCTCACCTCCTTGAACTCCTGGATCTGAGTCTGGTCAAACATTGAGAAGACATTGGAGCTTCCGCCCTCTGCTGCTGCCCTTCTCTTGGCCTTCTTGGGTGCCTAGGGGGTGAGATTTGGGCAAAGAGGTCCATGGACCCAATCCTACTACTCTCTGGAGGCAATTGATTAGATTCAGGGTTCTTTGAGTCCATTCTTCTAAAGCAACTCTTCTGGCTCTAGGCCTCCCTCTCTTTATGTCCCCTTTGCTGAGAGGGCTTGCTTCGGTTGCATCACCAAATCCTATCTGTAGCCCTTGAGTCCCATCCTTCCATCCTACACAACAAGTTCCCCTTTTTAGAACCCCGAGCCGAGTCCTGGACTTGTATCACCCTGATCCACTCGTTCATCCTGTATGAACCTCTGCTTTCTCATTTATAAAGTGAGAGTGGGAATTTTTGCCTGGCAGGTCCTAAAGGGTTTTAGGAAGGTGAAATGCAGGAAGGTATGGAGCATCCTTTGAGAGAGACTAGGCTCCTGTGAATGGAGTGTCTGAGCAGATTATCCTTGGTTGGGTTCTGTATGTTCCCCATGAGTGATACCAAGAAAAAGAGGATTCAGTTTTCTTCCTCTGATGGACTGGAAACCAGCTACCTTCTTTCAAAGGGTGAGGCTGCTCTGAGGTCTGAGGGATCTGGTCAGGGGTTGGGAGATTCTCACTCACCATGTCTTCAGTCTCCTGGGGGCAGGGCAGTGGCTCTGGCTGGAAAGGAGCAGAGAGTCAGCCTGCGCAGTCCCTCTGGGGTTTTATAGTCCTGCCCCAGGGAGCCCTTAACATACCAGGGTAACCTTAGCCCTGTGGGTACCCACCCCAGATACCAAAATAGCTAGGCTCTGGGCCTCTCCCTTCTGAGAGGGCCAACAGCAGCTGGATTCCAGGGAGGGAGGGAGGAAGGAGGGAGTCTTGGGATGCATGCCTCACTAGGACCTGGGCAGGAAGGGATGTTCCTTTTCTCAAAAGGGGGCTGGAATGTACCAGAGATCAGAGAGGGCCCAAGCCAGGGTACAGTGCTGGAAGAGAGATGAACCAGGCCCCTGTACCCCTAAGTGGGGTGAGCTCAGATTTAAACCCAGTAAATTTATTGAGCACCTATAGTGTGTCAGGCATTGTGCTGTTCTTTATGGGTACACTTTGGCAAACACAACTCCCCTCCCATTTGGAGTTCACAATCAAGTGTGTGTATGTGTGGGTGTGGTCACAGAGTTTAAACGTGGGAGTGAGCTATCTGGTGAACCTGAAGATTCAAGAAGCTCTTCTACACCTCCTTCAAGGAGTGGGAGGGTTTTATGAGGAAAGATGCAGAGCATGGAATCCCTAGGTATAAATAGATTTGATAGCCTGGGGCTGAGAGCCTGCTCTGTGATTTTGGGCTTTGTGCTTCAAATCCTGGGCCTAGGTTTCCCCCTCTATAAAATGGAGATGTAATCCCCATCCCACAAAACTTGTGGATGCGAACACTATTTGGAACAGTTTAGTGAAATATAATCATAATTAATATGTAGGCCCTGCCTTGGTAGAACTTACAGTCCAATCATGGAGACAGGAGAAATATAGAAAATGACATAGAAGTAGAGGGCACAGTAGCCCTATCTAGGAGTATGAGAATGACTTCAGTAGAAGTGAGTCAGGTGAAAGTGGAGGAGCAGGTGTGCTAAACAGAGGGCACAGATGGGCAAAGGCCTGGAGAAATGAAAGATTAGAAGTGTTCAGGTTGCCAGAATTGTGATGGGCTTGAGCAGAAGATGCAAGGTGCTGAAAACAAGAAACTAGAGGGAGTCAGCCTGAGGACTGAGCCCTTGGGAGTCTTGGAAAGGTTTGAAACAGGAGGACATGGTCTAGTGTGAGTCTATACCATTTCTTTGGATACTGGTGTGAAAGTTAGAAATCAGATGAAGAGAGTCAGAGACACCAAGAAAGAGACTAGTCGGTCACTTCCTCTTGATTGATTGTTATGGTCAGTGGCTTCTCAATCCTTTCTGAGCAAGAACCAACTTGGCTGACTGTGTGACTTTGAGGTACCCTCTTCTACCTCTCTAGGCCTGAGTGCCCTAGTCCCCTCTATAAGTGGAGGTCGGGGACAATAGTGGCTGAGGAAACCCCAGGAGGCCCAAGGTTGGCCATGACACCCATCTCCTCCTCCTGCTCCCTCTATGACCCAATGTCCTGAGCAAGGTGCCTCCTCCTTTTGCCTTCCTCCCGCCTCATGCCAATGCCTCTAAGACATTTTCTTTTCTGGGCACTGGGGCCCAGCCACCTGTTGTCTCTAAGAGTTAAGGAGCCACCCTAAACTTAGCAGCTGCCCTTGGCCTTCTGCCCTGGCCCCTCCTTGCCCGGTTCGACAGCTGCCTCACCTTATAAGGTTATCATGGGGGTCCAGGCCCAAGGAGGAGCCCACTTATTATTGGGTTCTGGGAGGGGAGGAGAACTCTGGAGACAGGAATGGGGAAAGTGCTCAGGAAGCTTGGGTCAACTGGAAAGTGGGGAAGAAGGAAGCAGGAGCAGTATATCTCAGACACTCGGAGTTCATGGGATCTGGGTCTGAGGAGCCTCAGAGGACTTAGCAACCAAGAAGGAACTGAGAAGTTGGGAATTAGGCCTGACTGAAATTTCAGGATGGTGAACTCTGTATAGAAATCTCCTGGGGCTCAGGGAAATGCGAGTTAGAGTGAGAAAGGGCACGTAAAGTTAGGACTTTATGTTTGTGATCTAGGATAGCTGGGGACACTCGTAAGTTCGGGGTATGGTTTCTTAGCAAAAAATGAGGAGCACAGAAGTGCGGCAATGAGAGAATAGGAGTCAGTGGAATGGGTCTTGGATTCGCAAAAGAATAAGGACACACATATGGGAGTTCATGGTATTGGGAATTCCTGAGGTCCCCACTTGAATTGGACACGCTCAGAGAATGAGGTCTGAGGAACTGAAGCCTGGATTCTGCGGAAGAGCTCAGATGATGGGGGCTGAAAAGAGGAACTTGGAGCTTGGGATTCCTGCAGGAAATGGTGCATCCAGAGAGATGGGTCACTTAGAGGATTTGGGGCTTATAGTGTTGGGATTAGTTGCGGGCCGGGATGAGAATTAGAAACACTGGATGAGGGCACTAGATCTTTGGTAGAGTTCGGAATCCCTGGATTCTGCGGAAGAGCTCAGATGATGGGGGCTGAAAAGAGGAACTTGGAGCTTGGGATTCCTGCAGGAAATGGTGCATCCAGAGAGATGGGTCACTTAGAGGATTTGGGGCTTATAGTGTTGGGATTAGTTGCGGGCCGGGATGAGAATTAGAAACACTGGATGAGGGCACTAGATCTTTGGTAGAGTTCGGAATCTCACAGACTCTGTGTGTGTGTGTGTGTGTGTGTGTGTGTGTGTGTGTGTGTGTGTGTGTGGCGGGGGGGAGGGGAGTCAGGAGCTGGATGGAGAATGAGGGCCCAGAAAAGACTCAGGAAGGGCAGCACGGCGCTCCTATTGGCTAAGGGCTGCACCAATGCCCCCGGCCCCCCGCCCTTCTCAGCGCTATCCCCTACTGTCACTCCCCTCCAGCGCTTGTCTCCGGTTGTCACAGATGTCCCTGAGCTGGCACCGCCTCCTGGCAGCGCCCCTGAACTTTGAGTGCTGCTATTGGCTGAGACAGCTTTCTATACTCTCCTTGTTGCTAAAGTGAAAGAATGCCCTCATTGGCTGACTAGGCAAATTAATTGCAAATTTGGCCCGGTCCCCCCGCCTCTCGTTCCCCCAGCTGTCATTCCTTTCTGACCTTCTTGGGAGACCTAAAGAATTCCTCAGCTCTTCCTATTGACTGCGGATTCTGTCTGTCACCGCCCAAATAGACGTCACTGTCTGTCAATTTGACCTCCGCCTACTCCCCTTATCATTGGCTTCCTTTTTACCGTTCCTATTATCCAGGCCCACCTTTCCTAGCACAGCACCCGCCTCCTTCCGCGGTTGTACATTCTTTAGCCATGTTTATTGGCCAGAAGGTTCAGCTTCCTGCTTTTCTATTAGCTACTTCCTTCACCCCGCCTCCTCCCTCCTGCTCTTGCCCTCTCATTGGTCCGCCTTCTCCGTGTCTTCTATCCGATGGGACCGCCCGCGCGCAGGCGTGAAACGCCGAGACGCTGGCTGCTTTGCCGGCACCAGTGCGTGTGCGCAGGCGTGAGGTCGGCCGCTCGCCTGAGGCGAGAGGGAGGGGGCGGCGAGAAAGCGCCAGGGGCAAGAGGGCACGGCTGAGACCCCGGAGCCTGGCGCCCCGGGTTCCCAGCCCCGCTTCCGCGCGCCGGGCGACTGCCCACGCGCCGCTCCTACCCCTGGCGCGCGCTGGGCCGCGCCCTTCACCTTCTCCCCTTCCTCGGCGGGCTGCGGGGAGCCGCCTGAGGGGCGGCGCCTTCTGC